CAAATATACGTAAACATACACATATGTGTGGAATTCATGTCGAACAAATTGCAATGAGAACAACACACATCCACACACACACACACACACACACACACACACACACACACACACACACACACACACATATATATATATATATTTATTTATATATATGAATGTGTATATATACATACATATATAGATATGTTTATACACACACATAAATATGTATATGCATGTCTGTGTATGTATATATATACAGAAAAAGAGAATTTGCATATTTATATACATTAATGTTTACTAGCCAAAAAGCCTCATGTACAAATTAATTTCTAATGAAAAGAAGTAATACCATCATCCTTCCATAAAAACGATTGCCAAAGAGAGTCCATTGCAACCAAAATTGTAACAGAACTAGTGTCTCAGACCGTGCACTGAAATGCAGATCTTCCCTGCATTGCAAGTGTCTTCGCAACACTTCTCGTCCGGGGACAGTCGCTGTCGACGGAGCAAGACTGCGAGAGAGAGTCGGTGAGGACGAGCTTCTCGTTCGGCCGAACTCTTCTAACCCATGCCGACACGCACCATGTTTACCCTACTAGGTGCTGATTACTCATGCGTGTGCTACTCTCCTGACGAAGTTGCTGAAGATATATTCTCGCACTACACGCTAATCTGGCTCACCTGCCTCGTCACTTTTTTGCAAACCCTCGTCAGCACAGCCATAATGTCACTTCTACCCTCCACCACCAATACTTCCTCACCACTATTAAAGTAAGTGTATTTTATTAACTATTGCCCTCCATATACCTGCCCACACTTTACATATGAATTGCTGTTTTCTTATTGAACACACATCATTAATACACTAACAAAATTTCTTTCTGCCAGCCACTGCTTTAAAAGCACAAGAAACAAAATCACACACCGAGACCAAACTTACGTAACACACACTCGTAACTCACATCTCATACCCCTGCCTTAACCATTTTTTAATTGGTATATTGTCATATTTGTGTTTTTTCTATCATATCATTATTGTCCTCACATTGCAAAATTTGTTATGTTTTATCTTTTTTCTCAGAGTAAGTAAATAGACGTCAATTTATTCATTAATTGTGTTCGTTTGTCCCCGCGTATATCATTCCTGTTTTTGTTCACGAATTTACGTTATCCTTTCTCTTTTCTTTTATATGGAATATTCATTCATGATTACTTAATTTTAAACAAGCTCATGGCCGTAAAATACTTATATACATATATGTGTTTATATATACGTGTGTCTGTATATATATATATATATATATATATATATATATATATATATATATATATATATATATATATGTATGTGTGTGTGTGTGTGTGTGTGTGTGTGTGTGTGTGTGTGTGTGTGTATATATATATATACATATATGTATATACATATATATATATATATATATATATATATATATATATATGTGTGTGTGTGTGTGTGTGTGTGTGTGTGTGTGTGTGTGTGTGTGTGTGTATATATATATGTATATACATATATATATATATATATATATATATATATATATATATATATATATATGTGTGTGTGTGTGTGTGTGTGTGTGTGTGTGTACGTATGTATATGTATATATATGTGTGTGTGTGTGTGTAAGTAAATATATAAAGATAGATATGTATACACACGCACGCACACAGGCACTCACACACATCGTTATCCTTCCTCATGAATGAGGAAGTAAGTAATCTCTTTGGATGCTAGTAAGCTCCTAGTTGCTCACTCATTTTAGTGGTCGTTGTTCGAGTGGTCTGGTTAAAATATTCATGAAAAAAACGGTAATGTATTATTCCATCTTTCATATATATATACATATATATATATATATATGTATTATATGTATATATATATATGTATATATATATATATGTGTGTGTGTGTGTGTTGTGTGTGTTGTGTGTGTGTGTGTGTGTGTGTGTGTGTGTGTGTGTGTATGTGTGTGTGTGTAAATATACAATTTCATCACTTCTATTTAGCCTGAATTATCTTTACAACTTACTTTTTACTGGCTTTATTCTATAATACCTCTACCTTATTCCCATAGTAAATTGATTTAGATATTTTGTTATTGTTTTATTACATCGAGAGAATAAAAGAAAGGCAAAACAAACAACAGAAATGAAGAAGGAAAAAAGACACCAACACAAATGCTAAGTAAAATAAATATAAAAGGGATTAGTTCGAGAAAACAAATAGAAAACGGGAAGAAAGATAAATAAAAAGAGAAATGAAAGAGAAGATAAGAATGGAAGCAGATTAGAAACGTAAGAGACCGATACCAAAAAATAGAAGGATAAAAACAAAATAGATAAGGATATCAAAAACTCAGATCTAATCAAAATATTTACAAAAGGCAGATAAGCAGGAAGACAAAAAGAAAACCAAAGAAGAAATTAGAACAGAGAAAACAAACGAACAGAGAAACAAAATATATACGTACATAGATGTATACAGGCAAGACAAGGCTAAACACAGAATTATCATATTTTTAAAAAGCGAAGTAGGAGAATTTCATTTTGAAAGCGTATCCTCGCGCTGATTCAAGCTCGCCTGCAAGCAACGTGACCTTCAGAAAGAATAATGCAAGACCACCTCACTTCACGGGGTTGAAGAGGCCGAATTTATCTCGTTTCATTTCCTGCGTGAATGTATGTGTGTGTATACACTTAAATACACACACATACAATATACTGTGTATATATATGTATATACATAATATATAAATATATGCGTGTGTATACATATAGACAGATGGATAAATAGATTGATAAACAAATGGAAAAGTAAATATATAGATATGTGCGTGTGCGTGTGTGTCTGTGTCTTATATGCATGTTTATGTAGTTCAGTATGTATGCAGGTATGAAGTTATGCTGTCAACATGCCTGCGGTCAGCAACAGCACTAACGGCTCACCTTCATGCTGTTGCCACTGGCTATGCTGGCAACTGCACGCACTTTGGAGGCCTATAAAAAGCCTGTTTCCTGCCTGCATCAACAGTTCGTCCTGCAGCCTCCTGTAGACACGACGCATTCTGATTCTACGCGATGGTTGGCTGCTCTCCAAGATGACTTTATCTTTATTCATTATCTATTTTCTATTTCGTCGATCTATTTATTTATTTATTTTTAATGAATTCTCTAAAGCTTTATTATGGTTAACCAGGATAACTTCAGTCTTTAGAAAATGTTAATTTTCCTTCGAAATATGCACTGAGAGCGATTTCCCGTTTGGCATTTGTCTGTTTGTCTTCTCTTTGCATCTGGTATAATTTATAAGTGATCCGAACAGGAACTTGTGATCCTAACATGAACTTGCATTGCAGTTGCGCCTTCGCTTCGTTGTCCTTCTCGCTGCCTGCGTCGTGGCAGCCATGGCGAGCCACAAGTGCTCTCGTTACTGCCAGACTCCGGGGAAGACTCACGTGTGCTGCGGTGAGTGACCTGTGACCTTTGACCTTTGTGTTGCATAGGTAGGTAAAGAGGTAGATTATATAAGAAAGGTTACTTTAAGGAGTGAGACTATAGGTTGATTCTTTATATTCTGAGAGATAAATCAAGATACATAGATAAGCGATTAAGAGGTACTTGCAAATACAGAGGTACATCCATTGAAATAACTTAAATTCATCTGTAAAGTGTTTGCATGTCACACACTCATTCCCTCCAATTCATTTCCAATCCAATTATTCTCCAACAGATCCCCCGCCTCCCCCCCGCTGCCCCAACCCCGCTCCGTGCTACGACTTCTTCGAGTTCATCGTAAGTGAACACAAGCGCACAGACAGGGACGGGTACACAAAGTTGAAAAGGAAAACAGCCACAGTAAGAAATGGAAATAAGTCGATTTTTAATTTTATTGCGGCTGTTTTTCTTCCCCGTAAGTATTTCCGGGTCCTTTTCGCTCCTCCTCCACCTTGCTGGGAGATTTCGGACTCTCCAGCTGCCGGAGTTGGATGAATGCGAGGATAAAAAAAAAAAATGAATTGAAGTTCTTTGTTTTTGTTGGTTTGGTTTGGTTTCTACTTTGATTTTGGGTTTCGTCATTAATTTTCTTTCATGTGAATTTTTTCCTTTACGGGTGTCGAGCTCAAAATTCAAGAATTATTACCCTGCAAATTTATCATCATAATGGAAAATAATGATTATGGCTGGACATTCATAAAAAATAACATTATTTCATAATAGCAACATAGATATAAATATTTGATCTAGTATGTTTATATTGCAAATTTATGGTAATTGATGATTTTTGCATGCAATTAGTTTCATAGGAAGATAGGAATGGGGTTGAATCATTTTCAACTGTTGACAAACTGGTATCTTCATGAATACGTCATTCTGAAGAAAGCAAATTTCCTCGACAAACGCGCATCTTTCCTTTCCTGCAATTCCTCTTCATCGGTCTCTTCCTTTCCTTCTTTGTAGAGAAAAGCGAGTCATCTCTCACGCACTCTCCCTCCTCTCTTGCAGTACTGCTACCACGATGACCAGTGTCCACCGGGCCAGAAATGCTGCACAGACGGCTGTTCCCAAAGGAAATTGTGCCCGTCTGAGTCATGCCCCAGCGAGTGCATGGCGCATGACACGAACTCTGAACCGACTGTTGAAGAACTGCGTGCATGGCCGTTTACTCTTTCTTGCTTTTGTTTTTCATTCTTTTCTTTGTCATTTCCTCCTTCACGAAGAATTGTTTCTGTTGGTTTAACATCTCATCTCTGAAATGCACAAGCGGCATTTGAGCAATAAACTTTGATTGGAATTTCGTCTAGTGTTTTGTTTTCTATGGAATGGCTTGTGTGCACCAAATATGGGACACACATACACACGCACACCCAAGGAACATTTTCGAGAGGACCATATGTACTAAGCTGTGGGATGACCCAGTTGCAACGTGGCCGGAAGTACAGGGAGAGAGCAGACAATCGCGTCTGGCAGGAACAGGCATCTTGGTAGTGGTGTAGGACCAGCAGACGTCTTGGGAAATTTATAGCAAGTTTGGCGTGGAAAGTCTTGAGAAAACGTGTGTTGCGATAGTCAGAGAAGCGAGACAAAGGCTGAGCTATTTACATAGTATTTATATACCCGAGACCTTGTGCGAAAATGTCTTAACCTACGAATAAGGATAAAGTGAGGCTTACACCAATACAGTGTCCATTTTCTGACTGGGTACGAACCTAGGACCTTGTGGTCGCAAAGCCACCTCCCTCCCATTGAGTCCATGACCCTCTGTCTCAATTCCCGTGCCACAAGCTTAGAAATCCAATATATATACCATGCATATACATGTATACATATATATATGTGTGTAAGTATATATTTATATAGATATCTACGTACATACACATACGTATATGCAGATAGATGCACACAAACGTATATATATATTTTTTGTGTACATAGGCATATAAACATACATATATATTACTTTATTAATCAAGGTAAGGAAATGGCATATTCATTTTCCGGTATCGTATATGAATATTTGATCATTAGCTAGAACGCTTATTGTACAAGGATTCTACTCAAGACCCAGAGTCCAAATAAGTAACCATGATAGTGCTGGTCATGTCTTGTTAGCATACAATTAAAAAGAAAACTAATAAAAAAGTTATCTAAAAAGAATACGAATGGGGAATCTAAAGTTCGAGCTGCCATCGTTTTCCGAAATACGCCATTTTGGCGAAGTAAAGTTCGCGACGCTAAATGCGCATCTTTCCCTTTCTGAAATTCCTCATCCTCTGCCGGATTTCCTCTTTTTCCATGGAGCCTAGCAGAGGAAAGCGAGCCATTTCTGACGCACGTCTTTTTAGATGTAAGCTTTTCTTTTAATAAACTTGTTTATATATATATATATATATATATATATATATATATATATATATATATATATATATATATATATATATATTATATATCCCTCCTTTGCAGCTCAACATGTCGACGGGCCACAGATGCTAGCCAGAAGCCTGTTCAGGGCACAGTCATAAGGAAAGCGCTGGACCGACTGCTCAGGAGCTGCGTGTGTTGGGCATTCAACCTCTTTTTCCTTTGATTCTTTTTTTTTTTTTTTCTTTCTCTTGGCTAGAACAAATAAATTTCTTCTCTTGGTTTAATATATCCTTCTGAAATATGCAAAATCGTTTTTCAACAATAAATCGGATTGGAATCTCGTTTAGCGTTTGGATTTCTGGTACAAAACCATTGTGATACATTTATATATACATATATATGCATATATATGCATATAGTATATCATATATATATATATATATATATATATATATATATATATATATATATATATATATATATCACACACATACACATATTTATATATGTGTATGTGTGTGTGTGTATACACAATCACACATGTATACGTATATATGAATATGATATACATACAAACATACATAAACATACACATCCATATATATATATATATATATATATATATATATATATATATATATATACTAATATACATTTAGAAAAAGAAAACGAAAATATTCTATATTTATATATACTAATGTTTACTTGCCAAAAGCCTCATGTACAAATCATTTCTAATGAAAAAAATAATAACATTATCCTTCCATAAACTTTATTGCCAAAGAGAGTCTATTGCAACCGACACTGCAACAAAAACTAGTGTTCCAGACCGTGCAATGAAATGCAGATCTTCCCTGGATTGCAAGCGTCCTCGCAACACTTCTCGTCCCGGGGACAGTCGCTGTCGACGTAGCAAAACTGCGAGAGAGAGAGGCGGTGTCGGGTTTAAGAGACTGCTTCCATATATATATATATATATAATACTATATATATTATATATATATATATATATATATATATATATATATATATATACATATATATATACACACATTTGCATTATATAGATAAATACATATACATAAATAAATACACGTATACATATACATATATATATATATATATATATATATATATATATATATATATATATGTATGTATGTATATAGAGATAGATAGATATATGAATAAACATGAGTGCATATGTATATGCATATATATATGTGTGTGTGTCTATGTGTGCATGTGTGCATATATATACATATTTATATGTGTGTCAATTTGCTATCTATGCATCTATCTCTCTACGTACGTATGTATGCATATATAAGTATGCATATCTAACTTTCTTACTATTTGCTTATCTGTCACTCTTTTTATCTAAGTATCTATTTATCTATCTATATATCAGCCATCCTATTCTATCCCTGTATATAGAACCAAACTTCCAAACGATCAGCGAATGTTACTCACAGGAACGTTGCCGTCAAAGATGTCGGTGCACCTTGGAGGCGACGGGCAAGTCCCAGGCTTCGGGTCTTGTTAACGAAAGGAATGATAAAAAGTGGATGGAAAGAAGTGCAAAATGTGATAGAATGATCCACTGTAATCAGGAAATACGAGGGAAAATTTACAGCAAGCTATAACAGAAATCTAGTATATGAGATAACAAATAATAATTAACATGGAATAATGATTTCTTAATTGCGATGGAATTCCACTCACCACAGCATGCGTACTGGTCTCCGTAGGGGCCAGGGCAATAGTTCTTGCAGCTGAGTCTCTCTGAAGCGCACAGAGCGAGGCACACAGCCACAAATACAACAAGACGAAGGTGCAACTAAAATGATAATAATAATATAATAAATCATAATTGTCCACAAACATAACAATATTGTAATCACTTCCCTATTTGATAATAAGATGCAAATCTACAATCTTTTGAAATATCAGCTCGACATTCTTTGAGAAATAAGTAAAAAACGTAAAGTGTGAGCGTGACCAACCATCGCGACGGGAGAGGGTGAGTGGTTTCTCCAAGCAGGACCGAGGAAGGTGTTGCTACCGAAGGGAAGATCCGCCTTTTTATAGGCGGCCCGAGGGAGATGCAGTGCGCATTTAGCAAGGTCATGATGTTGGAAAGCAGAAATTATTATTATTAATAATAAACAGTGTGTACATTACTAAAACACATACACACATGAATATATATGCAGTGGGCCGACTGCTCAAGAGCTGCAGATGTTGGGTTATCTGCTTCTTTTTTTTCACTGATTCTTCTCTTCCTTTCTCTGTGGCTAAAAGAAAGATCTCTCTTTTGTTGGTGTAATATATCTTCTGAAATTTGCAAAAGCGTTTTCACCAATTAACCGGATTGGAATCTCGTTGATCATTTATAATTCCTTGAAATAGCTTACTGGTCGAAAACTACTGTGATACACGACTGCGTTCGTGCATGCACACACGCACACACACACACACAATATATATATATATATATATATATATATATATATATATATATATATATATATATATATATTATATATATATATACATACATATATACATATATGTATATTACTGCATATTTGAGTATATATATACATATATGTGTGTGTATGTGAACAATCACACAAGTGTAAGTATATTATACATATACATACAAATATACGTAAACATACACATATGTGTGGAATTCATGTCGAACAAATTGCAATGAGAACAACACACATCCACACACATATATATATTATATATATGAATGTGTATATATACATACATATATAGATAACACACATAAATATGTATATGCATGTCTGTGTATGTATATATATACAGAAAAAGAGAATTTGCATATTTATATACATTAATGTCATCATGTACAGTAATACGATTGCAAAGAGAGTCCATTGCAAGTAACAGAACTAGTGTGACCGTGCACTGAAATGCAGATCTTCCCTGCATTGCAAGTGTCTTCGCAACACTTCTCGTCCCGGGGACAGTCGCTGTCGACGGAGCAAGACTGCGAGAGAGAGTCGGTGAGGACGAGCTTCTCGTTCGGCCGAACTCTTCTAACCCATGCCGACACGCACCATGTTTACCCTACTAGGTGCTGATTACTCATGCGTGTGCTACTCTCCTGACGAAGTTGCTGAAGATATATTCTCGCACTCCTCGCCAATCTGGCTCACCTGCCTCGTCACTTTTTTGCAAACCCTCGTCAGCACAGCCATAATGTCACTTCTACCCTCCACCACCAATACTTCCTCACCACTATTAAAGTAAGTGTACCTCCTTAATACCTGATTAACTATTGCCCTCCCTATACCTGCCCACACCTTACATATGAACTGCTGTTTTCTTATTGAACACACATCACTAATACACTAACAAAATTTCTTTCTGTCAGCCACTGCTTTAAAAGCACAAGAAACAAAATCACACACCGAGACCAGACTTACATAACACACACCCGTAACTCACATCTCATGCCCCTGCCCTAACCATTCTTTAATTGGTATATTGTTTTATTTGTGTTTTTCTATCATATCATTATTGTCCTCACATTGCAAAATTTGGTATGTTTTATCTTTTTTCTCAGAGTAAGTAAATAGACGTCAATTTATTCAATTATTGTGTTCGTTTGTCTCCGCGTATATCATTAATGTTTATTGTTTACGAATTTATGTTATTCTTTCTCTTTTCTTTTATATGGAATATTCATTCATGATTACTTAAATTTAAACCAGCTCATGGCCGTAAAATACGTATATATATGTGTTTATATATACGTACATATATATACCTGTATGTTTATTTACTTAATCTATCATTTATTTATACGTGTGTGTGTCTGTATATATATGTGTTTGTGTGTACGTATGTATATGTATATATATTATATATATATAATATATATATATATATATATATATATATATATGTGTGTGTGTGTGTGTGTGTGTGTGTGTGTGTGTGTGTGTGTAAGTAAATATATAAAGATAGATATGTATACACACGCACGCACACAGGCACTCACACACACATCGTTATCCTTACTCATGTATGAGTAAGTAATCTCTATGGATGGTAGTAAGCTCCTAGTTGCTCACTCCTTTTAGTTGGTCGT